ATGTCAACCCACAGACTTATTTAATAAAATTCAAAATCCTTAAACTATGACTTGTCTTAAATGAAATAAGCATAGTTTAAAGTCAAGTCAAATTTTATCACATTGAAAATGTAAAAAAAATTAATCAAATGGAGAAAATTAAGGTAAAAATAAGAGCAATCAATACAAAAGTATACCATTGAGTCAAGAAAGAGGGCTTCTCGCTAAATATCTCATTGCAAGAAAAATATGTTCTCCTAAAATTTATTGCATAAATACATGAAGACCCGAAAGGAACTTGGAACGTTTCAAAAAACAAAATATTAAAAAGATCAACCCAAAGTCATTGCTATAGAAGAGAGAACCAAAGCAGGTAATAAGAGCTAGAAGATTCCTCAAGTAATTAAAAAGAATATCACCTTAAGGAGACGGAAAAAAAGGAGGAAATCTTTATTATAGCCATCGTTAATTCAGAGGCCATTCATATATAGATTGTTGGAACTTGCATTTTGGAAAGAGATTTTCCAAGAAGAAAACCTAAAAGACTTAACCACCATAGAAGGGAAAATTTGCATGAGTGTTACAAACTAATCCAATAATTGTGCTAATGGTTATCGAAAATGACAAGTTGTCAGATAAGCATTTCAAAGTTAACATAATGGCCAAGAATCATTTGGTAAAAATCACAATTGGCTTGGCTAAACCTCATATTAATTGCTTTGATTAAAAGATTAGAGTTTTCTACCACTCATCACCCAAAGTCCTATAATTTACATGGAGCAAAAAAAATTAAAAAATATGCACATTTAGTTATGACGTGTCGATGTAAATTGAAAGTTTTATTATCATTGAGCTCTATATTAATGAAAATTCATCAGGATGTTTGACATATGCTTTTGGAGAATCCTTTTTTATGGCACGTAAATGCAATATAATTCAAAAGAAAGTAAATATTTTATTTGATAATGATGGTAGGAAGTTACTAATACAAAAAGGTAGATCTACAAAAGAGTTATGAAGCAACACAAGTTGTGATGAAGAGGAATCTTGGAATTAAAAATGTTTGGCTTATGGCAAAAGCACCATCAAAAGCACCACCAATAGTCCTAAGAGCAGCATCAATAGCTCCAAGAGGAAACACAAAAATAGAGAGAAATAAGTCTAAGCAAGTTCAGCACCATAACAAGTATTTTCAATTCCTCTATTACACACTTAGGCAAAAGAAAAGATAAAAAATAGACAAGGATTAGATCCTAGCCCAAGCAAAAAATAATTATGATCCTTTGCACAAATAAAAGAAACTCAAAAAAGGCGTCATCGGCCACTAGCTTAGATGAATCTCAATATCATAAATCTTTTAAAGTACTCCTAATTGATGGCCTCCAAAATCAATCAAAGGGTCAACTCTTCCAGAGAGGATTCAATTTTAAGCAATAAAAAAATGCACGATGTACGACAAGAAAATAATTCAGAAAATTTCCACCGACTAAACGACAAGTCGGACACTTGCAAACTCACTTCCAGTGACCGCGCCAACCACTTAACTGGTCGGCCCTACCTGGTCGGACACCCACCCAGCCGGCCTAATTCCACTTTGCTTGATTCACCAGGCTTGATTTCACCCAGCCTAATTCAAGCCGGCTTGATTTACTCAGCTCGACCTCCTTGTGGATTCTTGCATCAAACTAGAAATCAAGTCTATCTAGATGAAGGAATTAATCGTATAGAGAAGAAATTCAACGAGATTTTTATGTTTTGCCTTTTAGGCAGCTTCACCCATTATTGTCTCGATTTAGTTAGCACTTTAATGTGATTTGTTCATATCTCTAAGTTTATTCAAAATGCCAATATTTTCAAGGTTGTTTCTGGTATTTCTATATAGAAAAAATCATATGCAAGCAATAAAAGCAATTGGTAGATCAATAATTTTTTTTATTGATTTTTTAAAACTTGCTCTTTCTCTTTCCTCAAACATCATAGATCCAAAATTTTGATTCTTTCAACTACTCCCTCTCTCCCATTGTTAGCTAGAGTAGAAACTAAGGCATCTGATCCCTTTGCACTTAAAGTTGCCCTACGAACTTCCAAAGGAGAAGTCAAGCATACCTTATGACTCTTAATTGAAATTGTCCAAATAGCAACTTGATTCATTGCTACTAGCTAGAATCTAGAAACTCTGAGGCAAAGTAGCAAATAGTGTAAGTAGAAGCAATAGAAAATCTCAACTAGAAGTGGAGGAAAAATGAGGAGATGGTCTCTAAAGAAGTTAATAGCTTTCTTGTATAACAAAATTTTCATTTTTGCAAAAAAAATTAACAATTTTCTCTATTTCTATTAATCTGTACTGCATAAAAAAAGTCACTCACATTAGGCATTTTCATTAATTAGTAGATCAAATTGACAAAATATCCTAACTATTAGGAAGCCTTGCATCATCTTCTTGCATTGCTTTATTTAGTTTAAGGTAATTATGAACACAATCCTCAAGCCTATAGCATAATTAGGTAACACAACACAACACACCACACCACACCACACCATACAAAATATCAAAAGACTCTTAAAGTCAAAAGTTTTTAGACACTAATGCCATCTCAGGAGCTTTCGATCCACTTCATAGCCTTGGCGGGAAAGCCCCTTCTTTCACTAATATGATTTCCTAGCAAACAAGAATAACTTCCAACCCACATTTTGCTAATGAGAACCTCCTAGCCCTTAGAATCAAAGAATCCTATTAATTTGTTGAATTTATGAAGAATCTTCCCCAATTCATACACAAAAAACATCTTTTTGTGTTCCCTCTAACATCTTAGCCAGGACCATGGATACTTAGGTGAATGTGGCCTTCTAAATGATCTCTTAACAGTATCTTGGATTTGCACGTACCCCCTCTTAACATCCTCTATTATTAAGACCTCCAGCCCTTTAAGGAAAGATATATTTTCTATTTTTTATAATAGAATCCATGTATTCATAGCTTCGGATTTATGCTCAATTTAGTTGATCATAATTAGTAAGTATATCATACGAGTTCTCAAAATTAAATTGACTTGTAGCTTCAAATTACTGTTGATATAAAATATGATCAAGTGAGATCATTACCAATTATTTTGGAATAGTTGATATTTTACCCTAGCGAGATTATCCCCCATTCAACTTCATTTCTATCACAACTAGTTATTTTTTATTAAATTTGAACTACACAAGTGTGTACCAACGCAAGTCTCTCAATTGTGTTCATTATTAGTCTTATTTAATTGTTCAACAGCTAAGTCATTCAATACCCAATCTGGATTATGATCTTCATGACTCACCAGTTGTTGATGCAAAATGACATTTCATGATCATCATAATATTGAAATATACTGTGACGACTAAGTTCAATGTTTTGTATCTTTTCAACACACATTAAATAATTAGATTCTAATTAATGTTAAACGTTACATCTTTCAAAAATATTTTAGGGTAGCCTATTGGTCATGTATCTTTGAGTACATAATCATTCTACTCAGATATTACTATTATATCCTTGTCCATTCTTCTCTAAAGCTATCTTTGATATCTAGTGTGGACATAGGAAGACAAACTCAAGTGCCTTAGAAATTCCTCGTCCTCAATTTCTTTGTTAACTTTTCCACAATTCAAACATCACCTTGTAAGAAATTTTTACAATAATAAACAAAATTGGTTTCCCTTCATACCTGGCATCACCAGTGCGACCTAAAGGACTCCAAGACATGTAACTCCAACAGATATCTCTTGAACATGGTGAAGTGATGTGTGGACCTATGACCCCTTTTTGGTTTAGGTATGGTAGGATTATCAAAACTCTTAAGTTTCCAAAAGCTAGCAAATTGCAATAAAAATTCATGTTATCACATTGAAGGTAGTGATGCTCCCTGAAAATTGCCTAAATGGCACTTTAAGTGTGGTGGGAATCAATAAATATATGTAATGTCTGGCAATGAATATAATGTCATCACAGCCTCAAATCCTTTTATTTAATTAATGAGGTTAAAGGTTTCAAGTAGTAATCAAGATGATGAATCTATCAAGATTTATGTAAAAATCTCATCTATAACATCATTACTCACCAAATATCTCTCAAAAATGAGTAGCAATATTTTTTCTTCTATTTAATTAATAAATTCTTAGAATGAGTTTTTTTGTAACCCCACAAATTAATATCTCTAAGCTCCACTTATAGTTATTTCAATTAACTCCTTCATGATTGTTCAATATATTTTCTTTCCCTCTACCAGAAACAAAAGACATAAATTCAACAAAGCAACTAAGTACCATGGCAACCAAGGAATTACTATAAAAAATTGGGTTATTTAACTAATCAAGATGGATTGCACATGAAGATGAAATCAAAAGGTTGACCACAACAAAAATTAATATTGATAAATTCTTAGAATGCCAGCATTGTAACTAAAAATTACATTTCAATTCCATGATTTAACAAAATTGTCCGAAATAATCTTCTCTATCATCAAATTGTTACAATTATCTATTTTTCTTTTTTCCCTTTTGTGGGAATTGAACCCCAAATCTTCACTTTGAGTTGATGAAGGGCTGCCAAAAGTTTTCCAGTTCAAATCCATCGATCCAAAAACATTAACCCCATGGAAATTTTGTATTCTAAAAAAAGATCATATTCGTCTGTTATATAAATATATCCTTTATCATCTATTGGAACCCTAATCTTCTAGTACTTAAAGGGCCGCATCTCATGTAACCATAACCTCAGTAACATGAAATAAGGGGGAAAAAGAATAACCTTGTGGCCATGTCTGCAGCAGAATCAATCTCTAAACGAAGTAAAACCACTATATCTTCTACGACTAGGTGATTTATTCAACATTTTCCGCTCCAATCCAAACCCTACATTAAGTGCATTTTTCATAACCCTTTACGCATTTCAGTCAAGAAATTAAACTCAGCCACACAAAAAGGACCAATCAAATATTTCAAGCTAGTTTAAATGGAATTTCAACAATCGTAGAGGAAGTGCTTACGCTAGGGCGCGAAGAATGTCCTGGATCTCACCGTCGGTCTCCTCCATTTCAGCGTTCATCCTGAGATCGCTCCCCATTAGTCAAAACTTCGGCCAGATCGCTGAATAGAAACTCGCTGAGATCGAAATCTCGCAGAAGCCCAACAAATGGAGAATTTCCGGGGCCCAGCTATATTTCTTCTTCCTCAATTTTCTCAGAATATTATCACACGGCGAGGATTTGCAGAGGGCGAAAAGAAAGCAGAGATGGATGGAAACAGCTTTTACCTGGAACAGGAAAAGCCGAAGAGAGCTTACCGGAGAAGGTCGAAAGATCAGATTATTTATTTATTTATCTTCTTTAGTGGGGTTAGAATTTACATGCATACCACCCAATTCATACCTATTTATATCTCTAACACCTAAATTTTATTTTTTACATTTATACCATCTAAATCTATCACATCACATAAAAATATCACTATTTTAAATTAAAAAAAAATAAAATATACTTTTCATTGATAGATAAGGTGCCATATTTTTAAAAATTAAATTTTATGTGTTAGATATCTAAATACATAAGAATTAAGTGATAAATATGTAAATTTTCATATAGATCAATTGAAACATTAATATTTATAATTTAACCACGCAAGTGAATTTTTAGAACCATCGAACCTATGTATTCATGCGTGCCACCATTAAACTATTTAGAATTTAATAAACATGAAAAATAAGGGTTGGGGTCGTACCATAAATATTGACATTTGAGTGAGATTTTGAAAAATAGATGAAAAAAATGTGTAGATTTCTAAATAACAAGTTTCGGGCGGTCAGAATATAATTGCCCTTTTTTTTTTTTGAAGACCTACATACATAATACTTAACTCTTATGCATGCACAAGTATAAAACAAATTCATTAAAATATAGTGATAAGTATGGCACTTATTTACATGCATACCACTCAATTCATATGCATATACATATTCAACACGTAAACTTTGCTCTTTTATAATTTTACTTATATCACATAAAAAAATATTTTTATTTTAACTTTAAAAAAGTGAAATATATATTTTCAAGTATACATAAGATAGCATATATATATATATATATATAATTGAAATTTAGATGTTTATATATGTAAATACATAATTATGGAGTGGTATGTAGGCAAATCTTCCAATTTTTTTTTCAATTTTAATGCATGCCTAAAAAGTGTAGGTGATATAAATATAAAAATAAACATTTGGGGTCAGATATGTAAATACATTTGGATGGTATGTAAGCAAATGCTTGTTTTTTTTTATCCATGCAAAGTATAGTTGGATTGCAATAAGAACACCGAATGATAAATTTCCACGTGTCATGCATCATACTACTTCAAATTTTTAAGGATTATATATAAGCGTTAAAATAGAGTGTGTCGGGTTGCCTCTAAAGTAAATACATTAAATAAATTAATTTTACTTATTAGTTATATGCATATAAAGTGAAAATAATGTATTTAAATTATTTGAGCTTGTTTTGTTATGTGTAAAGTAAATAAAGATGAATTATTTTTAACATTAGTAATAAAATACATTTGAACTAATATATCATATTTTTAATTTTATCTTAATTTTTATTATTTGTAAATTAATATAACAACATTAAAATACATGTAAATTCCTTATGATTTACGTAATGACACTTCAAGTTACAATTTATAACATGGGTCACTAATATCACTAGTAATCCGAGACAAATGAAGGACAACTGCCAATTGTAGATGCAGCTCTTAAGGCTAGAAAAGTGAATAAACTCATAAATACCTTGCTTGATAATGAAATTGAGTTATTTGTTTTACCCTATTCTCACTACATAACCTATAATTTTTAAATACACGCATAAAATTGTAAATTGTCCCAAAACAACTCATAGCCACTCATTATTTTAGCCATGTTTCTGGACAGAATTCGGTGATTTGGGTATGTATGCCGGAAAGTCCAGCAGCGGTGGAATGATGGATTGTCGTCTTCGCATTGTAAGGGACGGACTCTCACGCACATTCATATAATAAGAGTGGATTTAGCAGGATGAGTGACTAAATTTTTTTACGTGCAAACCTTAGAAAAGGGAAAAAACCATGGGGTCTATCCTCGTTGAAATAATCTGCCATGAATGGTGAGTACATATGTCCACTTTTCTCGTGAATTAAGGAAGATTGAGTTACAAAGTTGGTCATTAGAAGTGGGCGATAACAATTTATTAACAATTGCTTTAGTCTGGTTGTAATGAATATAGTTTTCAGTGATATTAGGTTGTAAGGGTCGTGGTTAATTGATATGGAGGCAGTATACCCCCGTGAATGTGGTAGATGGTTGTAGCGCCAGGTTATTGCATGACCATAATGGAAGTAGTTGGTTGGTTGATTTCCTGGTGCATATCATGTTATTTTCCTTCAAACTTATTCTGTGAAACATGCGTATAATAATACTTTGTATTTCTATGTGAGAATTCAAGTCAAGAGTTGGCAAGCTCAAGAAGTCCATACATGCCGGTGGCCACCCGACACTTGGGAAACTCAAACTTTAGTAGTAATACCAACAACAACACCATAGTCGTCTGATCAGTAATACACCCCCAAGGGCCAATCACGTGACTTTCATAACAATGAGCTTTAGTCCTTAGCTAGTTTAGATCAGTTGAATATCAGGAGATAGTTCCCTGCCCAACATTGATAAGCTCCGTGAAGGTTACGGTGACAATCATCCCAGAGTGAAGTCTAGGCGGCCTTCTCTCATAAAGAGAGGACCCAACCCAAGACGGAGGTCCAACTAGGCGACCAATGACCCATGTGAGTGAAAGGCTAAAACCCAGCTCATATGCCCTAGAGATAATTCATCACCCAATGCAACAAGCAAAAGGTTGGTTGTATGGTGATTGTCTTTGACCCTAGAGATGACTTGCCACCCGACAACGACAAGCTCTGCATGGGGTGTACGATGATCTTTTTTGTCCCTTAAAATGACTTGTCATACGTCAACGACAAGTTCTACGATGAGTACACAACGATAGTCTTTGGCCATTGAGATGACTCGTCACTCGGTAGCGATAAGCTCTGTGAGGAGTATATGGTGATCATCTTTAGCCCTCGCGATGACTCACTACCCAGCAACGACAAGCTCCATTAGAGGTCACGACTCACCATCCAGCAGCAATAAGCTCTGCAATGGTTATACAAAGATCATCTTTGGCCACTACAAGAATTTAGCTTATTACCAACGTTCAAATACCTTCGGTACTAACACAAAAATATAGGCAAAATATTTACCGACAACTAAATCATCGTAGCAAAAATGCTTGTTAGTAATAAAATTACTGACATATTTAGGGAAGGTTTACATTAACCGACGGTTATCCAACGTACCATAACCAGCACTTGAGATCCAAAAGCATGTCATCTTTTGATCTTCAGTTACATAACTAACACATATGTCCATAGGAAAAGTATTGCACTTCCGTTTGAAAAGTATCTCAGTTCTGTCAATAAAATATAGTGCAACTGTTGGTTAACCATAGAAATTTTCTAATGATTTTGCTTGTAATAAAAATGCAATGCTTTGTCTGGATGTCGTCTATTTGATAGATCATTGAAAAGTCATTGACATATAATCAAGAGATCGTAAAACCATCGGTAAGCCATCAAAAACCCGTACCATCAGAAAATAAATTTAAAGCCCTCATTGAACACTACAATCTACACACCTGCAATCGTAACAATGCAGTCAAAACACAACACAACATAATAACAAAACTAATTAACACATAAGTCATATGAACAAATAGAAGAATAGCAATTGTATTAAGCCAAATGAAATATACAACTATACAATAAATTAATGCTCACTAACAATAAAGTGTTTAACATACAAACAAATTAAAAAAAAACCCCTACTTATCATCATTCTTTGTCATCTCCTCATCATCATCATTCTTTGTCTTCTCCTCCTCATCATCATCCTCACCCTCATCCTATACTGGCTCCATTCCTTTCTGCAGTTTGAAACATAACACCGCTTTGATCCCTACCCTCTTCTCTAATCTAAGGGAGGTTATATGAGCTACAACCTCAACAACAACCTAGCGATGCATCTCCTCTTTTGTGCAGTGGAAGTGGATGCACCAGATGTGGTTGGCGCATGAGACCCCAACATGTCGAGCCTGTCCTTACTATTCTCGATGATAACCTCCCTCAAGAGGTTGTACTCAAAGGATTGTTAGATGTGCCCAAACCACAACCTGACTATTGAGATCGGCTCTCCTTAAGTCTCTGGAAGGCCTCCTAAAATACATAATATTAACAAAAGTGAGAGACTAAATAAATTTTGATAGTTATTTGAATTATATACTCATTACTCCTATGAATTACCTATGGGTGCGCTCATGTAACTCTACAACACTTGGCTCCCATCCTTTCTTCAGTGTCTGACAGTATAATGGAAAATAAGATTTAATGCAAAAAAAAAAAAATATTTAATGCAAAAGAAGATAAGTCTTACCAACATACTCTTGTACTTTGTGTATGGGAGTGCTCTACCGGTGTACTTCAAGGCCTCCATGCTCTCGCAGTCAAAGCGTCAATCCTGCTATGCCTTCTCCCCCTTTATATGATACTTAAGAAAGTCTCAAGCCGTAAACAATGTGACAAATACATCCAAGTTAAGACACAAGTGGTGTTCACGTGTCTGACGTATATCGACAAACTGGTCGCATAGACGATCGCTCGCCTTATGCTCGAAGTTTGTGCGGATGTGTGCCTCTTCCTCGGGGGGCCAGCACATTTGTTTCTGTGAAATGAATTATAAATTGTTAGATTCATAAAATAAATACATAATTGTAATAACTATGTTTGGGATTACCTTAAACTCCTCAAACCACAAATCCCGAACTATTATCAGGATCTCCCTCCAAGACAAGTACGGATGAACGTACTCTAGTGGAATGGATGGCCTGTGTGAGGACTAAATATGAAATAGCATATGATTGGTTCTCTAGTAAATTAAAAAAATATAAGGTAGTAATGTCAATATTAAATTAAAACTTGTGTGTTTCTTATTGCTTTGAGCTGATGACTGTTGCTCGTGCTGCTCGAACTGGACGACACATCAATAACAACTGTTGTTGAACGTGCTGGTGGTGTCGTGGTCGCGTTTGGTGGTCGTAGTGGTGTCATGATCGTGAGTCATGATCGTGATTGGTGGCTGTGGTGGAGTTGTGGCTGGTGGCGGTGGTGGTTTTGTGGCTGGCGATGATAGTGGTGTCGTGGTCATGA